AGTTTATCTTAATGTTGCTACCACTGCTATTCATGATATTTAAAGCTGTAGGTGAGTCTGGGAAAGAAGCGATCACATTTACCGAGATTCAGACAGACGGAAAAACTGATACACATCCTATTTCTACTTGTGTTTCAAACTGCTCATCGGTTGGGTGAATTTTCACACTGGAAATTGATATTTTAGATTAATAGTAAAATGTATGGAGTTTAAACTAATTCATTCTCTTTAAAGAGGTAATGTTTGCAGGTCCACTTGCCAACTTCAGCACTTTGGATGCACCACAACCTGGATGAATGAGAATCACAAATGTCAAAACATGAGGAAAACTGTGATATTCTTGAAGTCTGTACCTTTGCTATTATAAGATTTAGCCCAGTTCTTTCAACCAGGAACTCAGAGGGATGACGCAGACCACTTGGATATATATAAAAAATATAACCGTGCTGGTTTATTCAAAGGGTCACAGGCAAGAATTAACATTACACGTCCAGGCATCTTCCACCCCCCAAAGCTGCTCGCAGGCAGCCTGGAAGAAGAAGGACCCTGAACCCAAGATCTCTATACAATTTAATCACTTCGTTGGGCTAGCCCCATCCTACACAGGCCACGTCAAACCGTGACGTCACCTGATATGCCAGCTATGCAGCTGACCAGAGCAGTAGTCAAAACATGAAGAATATTAAAGTGTGTGGCTGTTGATCAGTGGTGTGTATCTAAAAACATACAGGACGTTCAGGGACATGTCCGAACAGTAAGCCTCGGAAGATATTATGATTAAGATTACGGCTAAACATATCATGCTACTAGCAATATTCATCCTGCCTGCAGACTCTTCAATCTAGTTGACCTTGGCCTAGATGCAGCCTGCAGAACTCATGACAATGAACTGAGCACCCAACAGCCTGAGCTAGACATCCTGTCTGCCTTACACATTTCTAGACAACAAATCCCTAAATATCTACCTAACTAAGAAAATACCTAACACTATATAGAACATTCTTCTAGCAAACCCAACTCTCATAGTTACAGTATGAATTACACAAGACAGTCCTGCATCATGGGTGAATGCCAACGAAAAATAGAGTTCAGTAGTAAATAAAGCATGTGTACAACTGAGGAGGCAGAAACTGGCTGATCTCAAAGACCCCATGGCCTCAGAGCTAGTGCAACACTCCATGTCAAACTTTCTGTGGCAACCATTTCAAAGACTCCAGAATCACTAAAATGTAATCACTAGACTGGCATTAAATATCATGTGCACATTTACAAAATGGGAACAGACCTGTTGACTAGCACTGACCCACATGACATTTGCTCTACAACACTAACAGGCCAAACTTTCAATTTTCAATGTGCTGCCCCTGAAGACCTTCTGACACAAAGCTAAAGCCAGCATCAACATAACTCAAAACTGTAAAAACTTTAGTTGTTGATGTGTCATTTACTGCCAATGACCCCACATGTAGCCCCACAGCTCACACTGATCAGCCATAACATTATGACCACCGACAGGTGAATTAACTAACAATGATGATCTCATTGCAGTGGCACCTGTCAGTGTGTGGGGTATATTAGGTGGCAAGTGAACATTCAGTCCTGAAGTCCTTGAAGCTGATGTGTTGGAAGCAGGAAAAATTGACAACAGAACTATGGAAGCGACTGGATTCACAGAAGATGCACAGTGAGCTGCAGAGTGACACGAGCGCCAACAGACTGCCACACTGGCTCCTGCGTGCACATCATTAGGTAGGTGGTCATAATTTTATGGCTGACTGGTGTAAATGCAGTCTTGTCAACTGCTGCAAGATGCAGTAGGAACTACAAAGAATGAAAACTATGACTACACATTTCATTATTCTTTGTTTAGTTCTATTTTATAGGGAAATTAAATCATGATGTCTGATACCTTCTGTCAGCCTTTGTACAACTTTTGGGAATATAATTTCAAAACCTGTTTCAGTGCTGATGGATTTACTGGCAATAAATCAAGACCGGCAGACAATGCCAGATTTCACTCTGCCAATATGGTTTTGTGGTTCCTTCAGGGCCTTTTCTTTATTACACCATATGACTTCATACACCTAGCTGCTATTCAATAAAGTGCGGTGTCTGAAAGGCTGAAAGGGAGTTTCTCTAAAGAAAACATGCATTTTTAATGGAGTGATGGCAGAGATGAAATATTGTTTTATTGCTAAATCACGGTGACCTTGAATAATCAGTCAACTCATTCATCTACGCACTAAACTGCAATCAAGCAGCATCAGCTATGTATATGTGAATGTGACTGGCACAATCAGCTACAGTATTTATGTATAGACCACTCACACAACAGGCATTTGGACCTGTTCTTTCTTATGCCATTAATCATGTCGGCATGCCATTTAGGTGTGCTGTTTTCTCAGTGTTTGCCTTTGTCGGTGCTATTAGTTACACCTGTAACGTCTGGTCCACTTACAGTAACACACTGTCAAACTGTGGCATTTATCATCAAAACAAGTACAAAACATGTCTGAGTCGTCATGTGCATTGGTCTTACACACCTTTCTTACTATTTCTATTGCACATACCATGACTTGGATTTGATTCTATTTATTTTAAATACTGAACGTCAGATATGAGACTGCAACCGCAACATTAGTTAAAAATTGTATTCTGGTAAATAACAGTGCTTAAACTCTTGAGAGAATTTTTGACACAAAATCAACTGAGGATCAGCTTCAACTACACATAATTGGTGCCTTTATAAGGGTCAGATCAAATGAACAAATAAAGTCAAACCCTAACACTAAGTTTGAACACAACAAAAATACTGAACATAACATGATTTGAAACCAGCTACCACAGATATGGTGGCCCATGTTGCTCAGCGGCCTGAAACAGTGACAACCACTGAAGGTCTGTGATAGGCAGGTATAAAAATACAAAATGCTGAAGCTGCCTAGCGCTGAGCTGAGACGTTCTTTCTTCTCCTCTTTCTTGTTTCAATCTCTTGTCTATTTTGGCGTTTGGCTGAGTCAGACTTCCCACATAAAAGTGGCTTATTGTCAAAGAAAGAGGGGAGTTAGAGGCTAGATAAGAGGGAGGTAGAAGTAAAGATATAAACGGTGAAGGGATTTAGCTCACTGAAAGCAGCTTGTATCCTCTCCTCTGTGCTGAAATGACTTCCCACCAAGTGACCCTGCTCCTTCCTGCTCTGCTTTGAGGACTTGAGCCATGAAAGCAAAAAGTTTTGGAGCTGGGAGATCAGAGCACAGATGGCTAACAACTTGGTAGCATTCACCTAACCAGAAAATAACACATTTATTGTCCTTCTCTTTTCCTACTAAGAAAAGAAAAACATTGCATATATAATCCAAGTACTGTTATTGTGGTGCTGTTAAATCTGATGCACGAATTAACAGGCAACAGCTTCTATTCCTGTGGGCATTTGATGCATTTCATTTCGAGTAACAGCTCCCATCAAATTTGATAAGCATGGCGCATTGCTGCTTGAAATTGTGTGCATAAGAATTCTGGATTTATCAGCATGCTGTGTCCTGTTCCAAGGTGCTTCCTGGGCCTAATTACCTTCCATTTGTCATCAAAATCACACCATATATCTGTTAGTACAGTTAAATGCTTATTAGCCAAATACATTTAGCCTTAGTGTCACTCTTTGTATGACTCCAATATGGTCTAATTTTCCTTGACAGAATATTTTACACAGCTCAGGGAACACAACAATACACCACTGCACCCGTGACACTTTCTAGATGCTAAAGTGTTCTCAGATTTCTTTTTAAAGTTCAGGGACTCAGTTGAAATGCCCTAGACAAATGATTTTAAAGCTTTTTTCTCACTGACATGTAGAGAACATATACTAAGCAACTGTGCTGTGATTCAGCTGTACTGTTCACTCACACACAAAAAATCCATAATAGTTTTCTACTGTCTAGGCTAAAATACCGGGTTATGGACACACATTGCTGGGGAGTGTCTAGTTACATGTAACTACTGTAATCAAATTACAAAACGTTATTGTAATCAGTTAGTTACTGAGAAAAAATATGTACTTAAATTATTGTTACTAATCAAAAATGTATAAAAATACTGATTACAAAGCGGTTACATCTGAAATGTTTGATAAAAAGCTTGTATGTATAGATAACATTCAATTTATGTTAAGACTTCTTAGCTTTACATTTTTAATGTAATCAAAAGGCAAATAAAACTAATATGTTGCATTATTTTGATGAAGTAATTAAAATAGTTGCATTAAATATTACATTTTGAACAGGGTAAGTAGTAATCTGTAACCTATTACATTTCAAAAGTAACCTTCCCAACACCATGGACACAACAAATGTGTCATAGTTTAATACATTGACTCCCTGATACTCATTGTTTAATATCCAGGTCTTGTACATAGTTAATACATACATGCACGTTAAGAGCCTCGGGACACCTCGGATGGACAGGTAGTCCACCTGTAAACCTTTAAAGCCAAAACTGGGAGAGGTACTTGCTAAAACTTAACCTGTTTAGCATTTGAATTAGTCACTTCTTATAAAATGGACCTACTGCACATCTGCTGCTGGGACTGATGTAGACTCCACTGAGTTTCAAGGGTTAGTGAGCAATTATCCAAGGCCCCAAACCTTCAGGGGCCCCAGCTGTGTATCAGTTGCTTTTTTAATTTGATTACAAATTGTGAGTTTACACAGCTAAAGTACAATATTAAATGGCTAATGAGTTACAGCAGTTTGCGCTGTCTTGTATAATAGGTCGCTCCTATTTTCTAACCATTATTTTATCTTATATTATACATTTTCATAAATAAAATACAGTTGTGATTACAAAGGTTTCTGGGGACAGAACACATAAGGACATGGGTGAATGGCCAAATAATGTGAACCATTTCTGGAGTAGGCCTAGTGGTTGTTGTTGTTGTCTGACTCTATGAAAACTAGAATAAAGTTTTCATCCACTGCAGCCTGGTCGACAGGAACGTGAAGGCAACGCAAGCTCAGCAGCAAACCTTTGCTCCGAGCAGGCAAGACAGTTAATTCGGCCATGCTGGGGTCAATGTATGGGGGGGATGTATGATGTGACTGCAGGTTATCCATGGTCCAAGTGGCCAGGCCAGCCAGCAAGTGGCGCTTTAGTCCCAGCTGAACTCTCGGCGCCGCTATCTCCGAAGATGTCCATAGAGGGTCGAGTTACGCTACGCCCCGTGTTTACGCCCCAGTCAGTCCGCCGTTAGCCGCGGGACAACGGAGGATAGACTGGGACGCTGGCCGCTGGGAAGGTAAAGGCTCCACACTCATGTAAGTGATTATTTTCTGACTGATTTCACCCGAAGAAATGTTACTTAACATTTAGGAATTAAACGACAACTTCCGTTTTTGCAAGGGGCGCCTTTGTTCAGCACTGTGTCGCAAATGAGAGGACAATATTCTGAGACGCCTGTTGTTGCGGTAGGTCACTGAGCGAGAAAGACAGGGTTGTAATAGCTTTAAGTGGCTCTTTTGAAGCGCAAAGTATTAAATATTTACTGTAAATAATCTCCGTAGGCCTTTGTGGCCCTAACCAGCGGTACTATCTAACTTGTCTAGCGTCTCCTCCTCGGGAGCCTGTTGCTTTCTGCTCCATCATGAGATGGGGAAGGAGGAGGAGCTGAGAAAAGCGGATTGTCCCAAAGTGTCTTGGCGACTGTATTCAAAGTACTAGTAATATTAAACTAGTGCCCGGTTGTATTTACCAACAGTACGCCAGTAGCAAATGCTTAAGTATTAAACGGGCACGTAGTCGACCTAGGTAGCTTACTACTCTGGGAGGAGGTCTGCGTTATAAATGACAGCCTGTTATTATTAGCTATTTGCGGTCATAGCAAAGTTCATACATCACTTCGGTCTGTTAGTTTGAAATCCACAGAACTTTAGCTAATAAGTTCCTCAAGCCTTCTGTGAATCATTTCAAGCCACTGGAAATGTGTAAATGTGTGAATCACTTATTCTCTTGGTTAAGAACAACAGCAGCAGGATAGAAGTCCAGTACATTAGCACATGTCCCTGAAAGCATCACCATTCTACAGCTATTATAGCTTTTTCATTGTAATAGTATAAACAACAATGTATAAAGACAATGTTACAGATAAGCTACACAGTAGGAATATGTATTTATTATACTAGGAATGTAAATCTATATATTTCTATTCATTTAAATCATTATTTGGGTTAACTACAGGTGTTACAGTAGTAGTAATAAATTAGTAACAATCAGCACTGCACTAATTTATTAGTTGTAAGTTTAATTACAGATGCATACATTAACATAAATGCTAATTATTTACAGGTTACAGACAAATAAAATATACATGTGCCACAAACTGTGTTTAGAAACACATTGGTCATTTTGTAGGTCATAAACACACAGTAGATGATATATAGAAAATGAACATAAATAAGCCAGTGCTGTGGTGATCCTTTAGCCACATGCACTGTGGCTATTCTAAGAGTCTATTCAGGGATTTTAATTATCTTACTAGTCATCTTTAGTCGTGTCTCCCTGAGTCATGCCATGCCTGTAACCAAACAACGTCTTCCTGAGATGGTAGGCGATGACATCACACCCTTGATGAAAGCATTAGTCAGAGATGAAAACAAAACCACCCTCGTATGCTGCTGTTTGGTTTTAAAGGTGTGATGCCTAAAGGCAGCAACATTCTTTGACACTGACTTTGACTATAAAGTAATATATATATATCTTCTTTTTTCCAGATGTAAGTAGTTGATTATAAAACCGATATGAGTTACAGTGAAAGTAGTGCAGACTGAATTTGGAGCACAGCAAATAAAAGTCGATGTAATATCTGAATTTAAGAAACAAAAACATGAGATTGCTACAACTGGAGACTGAAATAATGATGCAAGAAGGGTATTGCACTAGTTTTAAAATAACTGATAAGACCGTTAGCCTGCGTTGGCTTATGAATCAGCAACATGTTATTTCAGAAAGAAGGATGGCTACATTTATCTGATAGGAGTGCAGCGGATAATCATATTCAATGCAGGCGGGTCATGCATCTTAAAAAACTACTGCCAAAGTACACTGAATGAAGTTCCAGGAATGTAAATTACCAGGTGTTAATCTAACAGTAAGAGCATTAGTCATGTATAAGGAATAACAACCTATGGTAGATATGTTCTCAAGCAGCCTGCTTGCAAAGAGACTCTGCACCACTGGGCTGGGATTCAGTAAACGGCCTACGGTTCCTTGGCACAGTAGTTACCCTGTGATGTTATGAGATAAATATGGCCCTGATGGAGAGGAAACATTCATTTTCCCTTTCATGCTGACCTTTCAAACAGAGAATGTTTAAGACGTTTGGTTCAGAGAAGAATGAGCCTTTTATGCTTCTGGTTCCTGTTTATACAGAGTGTGTTGTTAAAGTTAAAAACATGACTAGATTTGTGGAATCACTTTCAGTTCTGTGATTTGTTAAGAAAAAGACAAAACACATTATGTTTTTACTCTTCAGGCCTTGAAAAAGTGCACAGTGTGAAATTGCTGTCGATGGGGAGAAATCACATTCAGCTGGAAGTCTAAAAATGATTGAAACAATGGGTAAGTCGTCATTATTGTTCTCACTTGAGTCAGTGCATTATTATGATTGTAAATACATGTTAAATAAATGATTACATTGAGTTTCACAGTCACCATTGTAACAATCAAATGCTTTTTTCACCTACTTCTGTTCTTGATTGAACCAAATCAGGCCCATCTTTAGTGCCAAGTGCTGCTATGATCATAGAATTCTCACCCCACTACCAACATTTAGTTTGTTAAGAGCCAATACTAATATGATAAGTGGTGCAGTTTTTAGAAATGGCTTTGGTCTAGTCATTTGGATGTCCATCTTCGCTGGCTCTGCATCCTCCATTTGGCTGCTGCCGTGAGTCTTCTCAGTTCAAGGCTTGTGGACTGCCAGTGTTACCATATCTGATAATGTTGCCATATATTTGATTGTTTGTTTGTCCCCATAGAGATTTATTTGTCCAACTGTCAAGCACAGAGCCAAATTGATGCCAGTGTGTTTCTTTAAAGCTGCAATCTGTGGTCACTCGACACTGGCATGTTGACTGACCATATACAGTCAGCTGTAATGTGCAGGTGCAGGTAATGTGCAGTGAGGCATTATATACAGAGATGGATCTAGAAAAGTTTGGACGGAGTGGCCAGACTGAGGCACAGACTCAGAGAGGGGTGGCACATTCAAAATAGATGTTCTACAAAAATAATAATCCATACATTATTATAAACCAATTAACAGTATAGCTCACATTTAAAGAAACTGTATTTGGAAGTGCATAATTCACCATCAAATCTGTAGAATGCAAAGACAGATCCAATGGATTGCTTGCTCTGTAGAATGCAAAGACAGATCCAATGTTTCTGTCCTTATGCTCAACTACAAGATGACCTTATCTCTTGGAACACACAAATGCAAACATACTAACAAACTTACATACCTGCCATCTTCGTTGGGACCCATCATTATGATCACTGACATGGGGGCAAAGGAAACGATACGGTTACCTGCACAGAACCAGTGGCACACAGAAAAAAATCTGCTGAGGCTTAAGTGTTACTGGCTTGTTTACAGCCTTTGTTCAAACAACAAAGCTTCTCACTGCAAAAAGAGCTTAGGACCTTGTGCACGCGCTATTAGGTGTTAGTCACAGTTGCTGAGCTTTAGAAATTGCTTCATTTCTGTCCCCATGATGTCGGGCTGGCCCATCCTCTCTATCAAACCACCCTGGAGTTGCTTGATTGTGGGGCTTACGCAGGGTCCAGCAAGCAAACCGTGGAGGGCTTGGTTCTTTTATCTTTTCCTTGACACCCCTTCTATGCACATGTGCATCTCCACCATTGACCCTAAAGGCAAAAAAAGGAAATGTGACTATTTTGAAAACAAACTGCATGTTGAAAATTGAGGGTTTTTTTTGTACTGGTTCAAATCCTCATCCGTTGTGATTTCAATATATTAAATTCTGGTGAGCACCCGTTCGGCCTTAACTGAGCTGATAGGTTGTGATGTGTGGCTTTCTCCATTTATCCTCTATGCTTCATTTACATGCCACTGTTAAAAAAACATAAAGAAGAAAGTTAGACAAATGCAAACTGTGATATGTAAATAAGGTATATTAAAAAAAAAGGTTTAAATGCATCAGTACTGTCATATCCAGACACCCTTACCTTGCTCACTGTCTGTGGCGAAGTACTGATAAAGCTTCTGTCCTCACCTCTGTCTCTCCCATGTCTCCTTCTCCCTGCATACTCCATTTCGGCCGGTGCTGTCACTGAAATATGCGATGACTTGCAGATACACAGCGTGCCTTGCAGGCGGTGGAGCGTCTCCAGGCCAAACTGAAGGAACGGGGGGAGGTGCTCACTGAAGAGAAGCTCAGCCTGCTCAAATCAGTGCTCCAGAGCCCCCTCTTCCACCAGATCCTGGCCCTGCAGAAGTCTGTCCAGCATCTCAGAGATCAGGTGAACTCAGATCTTTTTCACGGTATCCACTTTTTTTTGTCACAGTTAAATATTAAAATGCAATAAACATAACTGAAGGGCAGTCAAAAAAAAAGTCTATTAAAAGTGTAAGTTTATATATAAATAATCCAGTATTCATTGTTGTAAGTTTCACGGGCCTGCGTGACTGTGAACCTGTTAAATTAGAATGATGAATGCTGGTGCTGGGTTCCCAGAATGCTAAGGCACCGTGGAAGGTTTTTAAGAGGTTGCAAGATTTGGATAATTTAGAGTTGTGCATTAATAACATATGTGTATAACTGCTAAAATGCCAGATGGCAGCATCATACTTCTGTATTTTAGTACAGAAGTAGTCATGTTTGATGGGAAATAAGAGCTAATTTGCTTAATTTATATATAAAGATTAGATACATATTATGAATAAGAGTCAAGATCTCTCTCTCCTGCATCATGTGTATCTCAGTAAGGTCAGAGGACTTTCCATATACATATCCTCTGGGATTGCTGCTGCGTTTATCTTCCATGTTTCCTGGGTGACCTCATTGATTCTGTTTATGGCTTGTGTTAAGACACCCCCCCCCCCCTCCAATTCCCCTTCCAATCCCCATCCCCAAAAGTGTTGCTGTTATGGTCAAATTGCTCTCAGGGTTTACACTAGCCATAAATAAAATGGGCACGTGAGCAAAGATAGTTGCTCTAAGAAAGGAACCTCTTTTTCAAGCTGCTTCTTCCCATTGAGAATTGAACATTTGATAGGAAGGAAAGAGCTCTTAAGTCACAGTGGAAAGGGGCTGGGGTGAGCATTTGAGAAATAGAGATGAAAATATGTGAGCTATGCAGTGGGAGGCAGGGATGTTGGAGCTTTTACTCTTGTGGAATTTAGATTCTAAAAGCCCTGCTGGCATTTCTGTGTGCTGGAAATGTAGCTTATTTCTAAAGAGGTATATTCATGTGTGAGTGTGGCCTTCCTATACTTATGAGGACCAAAAAACTATGAGCCCACTCACATTGTGGGGACTTGTCTTCCTTATGGGGACCAGATACTGTCATATTTTTGTTTTACATTGCCACTGAATCTCACTTACAGTCATTAAATTTTAGGGTGACAGCTTGGTTTGAGGTTAGGTTAAGGTCAGGGTAAGTCACTGGGAAACGCATGTCAAGTCCCCACAGGTGATGCGCACGTGTCTGTGTTTATTTAACAAAGCAAAATTTATCCAGTAGCCATTCACTCCAAATTCCCTTCACATCCTGAAATAGATCCACATTGTATCAATGGTAAATGTGGCATAGTTCAAAACCCCCCCAAAATACATGAGAGTCTGTTATGTTTTTATAGAGCTTTCAAACCTAACTGCACTTGTTAGGGCCCTGTGAGCAGAACCAATTCAGAGAGTGTGTGCCTTTTGTGATTTGTTGTAAGACAAGAGCCAGACACATAAACACATACACACTGTCTGTCTTCTGGCTCTGCTAGTTAGGCCTCACTCAGCCCATGTAACTATGGCGACAAGGCCATACTCTCCAATGAGAAAGAGGCCACTGCTGCTGTGTGAAGTGGGGCAGAAACAATTTCTTAAATGTGCAAGAACCAAACTGGAACTTTAATCCTCTTAGCCAGGTCCCAGATAACAAAGCTCATGCATGAGAACAGCAACTTAGCAGCATGCTACGCTACCTTAGCCGGACCCATAGGGTTGTTAGCACTGTGCAGCACTAATGTGTCCTGTCCAGTGGAGCTTTGTTACTAAGTACTAATCTTGGACTGTATTTTAAGGAGGCATAATTTGCTGTATGTTTATTAAGATCTGAGAGTTGGACAGCCAGCTTCCTAGCACAAATTCACAAGGACAGGTTTTGCTGGGCAATGCCATATGCAACACATGGAGAGATATGAAATTATTGCTGGATGTTTGAGCCGTCCTTTTGAATCCAGTTCAGTCAGTCATAAACATTACGCTGCTTTGGATAATGAAATTGGAAAAACACTGTTTCTTGTTGTTGTCATGTTCATGCAATTCATCTGTCACAGAAGTAAAGTCATTGCAGTAATTAAAACTCAAGCATATTAAGGCATCCAGATGGCCAATGATGCTTTTCTCCCACTATGATAGAAAGATTGTATTTGGAGCCTTCTCACTGTTGGAACATCAGCTAAGGGCCATTATCTGCTGAAGGATTAGGCTGCCATAGATCCAGCTAATCATGTTGGGACAACAAACTGCCATCCCAGTGGGTTTAGACACCCAGATTTTAGGGTTTTTGGTATCTAAATTTAAAGTTGTTAAATGCCTACATTCACAAAAGAAACTTTAAAGGTCTTTGGTTGGATTACATAGATATTTAGGTGTAAATCGAAACACTTACTACAACAGCACTTACTACATGGAATTTTCTGTTTGTTTTTCCAGGGGGTTGTTCCAGCATCACATGGGAGTGATCTTAGTGATCATGTCACAGCAGTGAAGCACAATGGTGGCCATGTTTCTTGCTCAGACATATCAGCTGATACAAGCATCAATGGCAAGACATCATCTGAAGAATTTGAACAGATTATTCAGTCTATGGCGCAGGTATAAGCAAGTGAAAAGCTGTGATGTTTGCCTCCTGCTCGTGAGTTTAATGTCAGTCTAATAGGATAAGCTTATACTCTGTCATCTTGTCACTTCTGAAATCCTGTTGATTTACTCATTTCAAACAGTCAAACACAAATCATAACCTCATCTGTAGACAGGTAGATCACCTTGAATAGGTCTGATACACAAACCAAATACCCAAAGAGCCTCTCTTGAGGTACTTCAAACAGACTTTTAAAGGTTGCCTGTAGCTTTGATGCTATAGTGAATCAGCACGAGGCCAAAGTGTACGTGTGTGTGTGTATGACACAGGGGCGCTACGTGACGCGTGTGGAGCTGCAGAAGCCAGTGTCAGGAGGTCTGGGCTTCAGCGTGGTGGGCCTGAAGAGCGAGAACCGCGGAGAGCTCGGCATCTTCATCCAGGAAATTCAACCAGGAAGTGTGGCTCACTGGTATGTAAGAGTCAACACACTGTCATTCTAAGAGCTATGTGAACACTGAGACTACAAGACAGATTCAAATCTTATCACATCCATCCATTATCTGTAGCACTAATAGGGACACAGGGAGACGCTGGAGCCAATCCCAGCTGACATTGGGCGAGAGGAGGGTCCACCCTGTCTATCATAGGGCTGACACTTAGAGACAGACAACTACACAAACACACACACTCCTACGGGCAATTTAGTCACCACTAAACCTAAACTGCATGTTTTTGGACTGTGGGAGGAAGCCAGAGTTAGCATAGCATACATTTTTTCAATTTTTTTTGGTCTGTTGTTAATTAGAATTAAGTGTTTAGAGAAGAATTCCCTTAGGATTTTGGAAACCTTACAAATGGACTGTTTTTCTGGAAATGCAAACATGGAGATTTTACAACTTGTTCCAAATTATTTTTTGCTTAGACTTCAGATTTTCTCTTTTTTTCAAATTAAGCCGAACAGTCATGGAAACTATACTTTGAAAAGCATTTAATTAGAATTAAGTGTTTAGAGAAGAATTCCCTTAGGATTTTGGAAACCTTACAAATGGACTGTTTTTCTGGAAATGCAAACATGGAGATTTTACAACTTGTTCCAAATTATTTTTTGCTTAGACTTCAGATTTTCTCTTTTTTTCAAATTAAGCCGAACAGTCATGGAAACTATACTTTGAAAACATCCTAAGAGCTTACTTAGTTTGATTCAATTAGAAACATGAATAAAAAAATCCAAAAGTTAGAATGCCACTGCTCTCAGAGCAGGATTATCTCTGTTAAGTAATATCTGACTACATTTACTGTGCTATTTCCTTCCCTAAATGACACTCCCTGCTTCTTCCCTGTTCAGTGATGGAAAGCTCAAAGACGCTGACCAGATCTTAGCCATCAATGGTCAGCCCCTGGACCAGTCAGTGACCCACCAGCAGGCTATAGGCATCCTACAGAGTGCGTCAGAGACGGTGCAGCTCACGGTGGCTCAAGGTCCAATACCTCAGCAGGTTAGCCCCGTGGTGTCCCGCACGCCCTCTGCTGCCAGCACACTGTCGGCCAACTCCAGTGCGGTATAAATACATTCACACGCTCATGTCATAAATGAAAGGCAGCGCTTCTATGCACATTTGCAAATTCTGAGAAGAAAAACTGTGCAAACAGGTCTTTGTGAGAAATGGAGATACGTACAATCTGACAAAACTTGTAAGTGGAGTTTAGACAGATTTCTTTGTGTGTGCAAAGAATACAGACAGATGCTTGTTTTGATATACACACAAAAAAATAAAAATCACACAATAATCACAGTTTCAGAGAAATGACTCAACACAGGGCTCCTGCATTCCTACTTGACAACAGCGTGACTACTAGAGTGACACACATTCCTGTTCCTTTAAAAGAAAAATCAAGATTTGCTTAGATAAGATATTCTTATTTTATAGTAGATAACTATATTTTCAGTGAAAACAGCACCTGCTTTACATACGACAAACCTTTGTTAGACCTGTCTGCTCACTAGCTTCATTGTTTCTTCTCTGTTACTCTGCCTAGTGGCAGCATGTGGAGACAATTGAACTGGTCAACGACGGCACTGGTCTTGGCTTTGGTATTGTCGGAGGAAAAACCACTGGGGTTATTGTTAAAACCATCCTTCCTGGAGGCATAGCTGATCAGGTAATATGCTTCTACTTTCTAGGGGAACTGCTTTTCAGCAGTTCTGTGTAATAGCTATCTTGGAGTTTACTATATATTTTTTGTTGTTGTTGTATGGCACTGTCAATGTTTTAGAGAGCTGACTCCTGTCAGTTAGGTATAATGAGAATGTGTTCATTGCAAGCAAGCACAGAATAAACTGTCACTGTGTCTTTTGTTTGATACTGGCACTTTCATTATGGGTTTGTTTTCTACTGAAGCTGCACAGGCTAAGACAAAAACATATTTTCTCTACATCAGGATGGCCGTCTGCGCAGCGGGGACCACATCCTGAGAATCGGAGACACTGACCTGTATGGCATGGGCAGCGAGCAAGTGGCCCAGGTCCTCAGACAGTGTGGGAACAGGGTGAAGCTCGTGGTTACCAGGGGTGCCATGGAGGAGAGTCCCCCTGTCTCTGCCATCATGCCAGTGGTGCTCCCCACAGTCAATGAACAACAGGTGAGAGGGGCTGTTTCACTGTAAATATGGCAGGAATTAGAGAGGAATTCTCACAATAAGGACATTTTTCACTTTTTGTTTGATTTAGTCACTGGGAGTATCCCTATATGAAAGCAGTTTCTCTATGCCCAACACCAAGATGATGATTAAATACCATATAGAACATCCATTCAGACTTAAAGTTCAGGTTTTTCATCTCCAGTTTTATCCTTTCAGACTTTTTTTTCACAGCAATGGATAAATGGAATTAAAGAAAATTGCAGGTTACATCAGTTGTGACTCACAGATGCTGCTTTACTCAGAACCAGCACTTACAGTACAAACACCAATTTCATGGCCATTCTCAGCACCTAATCATGAATGATTTTCAGTGTCTGGTTGTATGAATACAAACATCACATCCTTTTTGTAATCATATACATTAGCTGGGTTGTTTATGTTGGCTGGTGGGCCATTGCTGTACTTGATCAGAGATGAAAACTATATTTTGGTGCTCATGCGGTGCAGTCAGATTACTCAGGTGTCATTTGTTTCGTTGGTGTTGACCTGCCCTTCTCATTAATCTTTTCACAGGGCTATGAGGAAGAGGAGGCTGAGGCGTTTGATGTGAGCCTTACCAAGAACAGCCAGGGACTGGGGATCACTATCGCCGGCTATGTTGGAGATAAAAGCTCAGGTGAGAAAAGGAGCACCAATTTTTCAGAACAGATGACACTTTAAATGAAAGCATCATATTGATATTTAATTACTCCCTTCCTTCAGTGAATTATCATTTAAAGTTGCATTAGCACTTAGCAAAGACAATTTTATAAGGTGGTGTTAATTTTGTGCTTTTACCTTTTCACACTGCCCCCAGATTGTCCAAAAAACACAGTTAATGCATCTTTTTTTCCAATGTTGTTGTATTAAAGTTTTTTTTTATTCACTTTTAGCTACAACATAATGGGATCCCCAGCTAATAGTACTCTACATTCTGCTTTTATTTTCAAGGTTACCATAAGAACACTAACTGTTAATAACCTAACTACTTAATAACACTGATTTTTACCATGAAAATGAAACATCTGTTTGCTTTTCTCCTTGGGTCTTAATCCCTTAATATTTATTTATTTTTACTTTTTCTGACTTCTCAGAGCCCTCTGGTATTTTTGTTAAGAGCATAACAAAAGACAGTGCTGTAGATCAAGATGGTCGTATTCATGTGGGAGACCAGATAATAGCTGTAAGTACCCCCAATTATGCTCTTCATAGCTATTAGTTTTCTCTGTCTTCAGGATCATGATGTAAAATATGCACTGAATGTTTTATATTATCTACTATAGTGATAACATCTACTAATTCAGTCAATGGAGAAAAATTGTGAAATGCATAATTATGAATAATTTAGAATTAGCTGATAATTCATAGTGTTTTATCCTCGTGACTATGACCATAAAGGAATCTTGAATTGATTAAGCAATTAAGTTTTTAATTGAATAACCGCATGACATTAACAATGAAGTCAAACTGCGTGCAATTCCCTGCATCATTTGAAGCAAGAGTTAATGTTGCCCTGTGTTTTCTGAAGTTCTCACAAACTCTTGTTTTGTTCAGGTATATATTGTGTGTGTATGTGGGTGAGGGTGTGCTTGATTGAGTTTTGTTCTAAAGTGTAAATGATAATGTGCTTCGGGACTCACTTTAAGAACTTAATATACTACTTAATTGACTGTGAATTATTTAAACACAAGGAGTTTTTACCTGCCTTAAATGATTTAAATAAATAAAGTGAATTGTGAAAATAGATGAGAATACTCAGGTGCAGCACTCTGTTCCCGTGTATGCCTGCTGGTGCTTATAAGTGCTGTGATCAATCTTCTTTCAATTTCACCTATGTCAAACAAGAATATAGATGGAAGTTTAGCACACTCATTACACAAACTCTGATTTAATCCATGGGCTCATACTCACTGCAGGTCGATGGTATAAACATCCAGGGGCATACCAATCAACAGGCTGTGGAAGTGCTCCGACACACCGGCCAGACAGTCCACCTTAAGCTGATCCGGCGGGTTTTCAGGCCTGATGAGATCCCCTCTGCTGTGGCCCCCAGTGTCACCATCCTGTCCCCTTCCGCCAACCACCGCCGTCCTGAGGGAGATCGAGCTGGAGAGAGGGAAGGCTGAAGAGGCTGCTCAAAGTAGGAAGGATAAAGCAAGAGAAATTTAATGAGTTCAGGAAAAAAAAAATCACATTCCTTGTTATTCATCGACCTGTCTGAAAAGGTGTCATGTCATGTGTAAATTTAGCTCTGACAGTAACGTTCATGTCACAGTGGGGGTAATTTCCATGCAACTCCACATGGAAATTTCATTCATTTTCATTAATAGCATTAAAATACAAAAAGATTTTTCTTCAGTCAAACATGGAAATCACTTAATTAATTTAACTAATTAGTTATACCGATCATTTAAAGGCTACATTTAATAGTTAAATTAATATTGAAACTTTTTTGGGAGGGGGGG